AAAATAATATTAAAAAATGTAAACACGAACACCAAATGGGCAAAAAAATTAATTGAACTGAAAAATGAATTGAATAAGGTATACAAAAGACAAATTTAAAAATAGAAATTAAAATTTATTTTTATTTAATTTATAATTATTTTTTATATGATTGAAAAATAAGTATCTTGTACTTCAAATAATATAAAAATTTTATTTATTTTAAAAATACCATTTTAAAACATCTGCGTATAACACTTCAAAAAACATCAAATAAATGTACAAAACATGAAACAGCATTTATTTTATCAAAATTTGGTCAAAGATAAAACAGAAAATTAACATAAAAATGAGAATCGAACAACATGAATATAATTATAAGATTGTTCATAAATTAAATAAATTCAATCGAATTAAATTAATTTCATTTATAAATTAAAAGATAATGCATATTTACGTAAGATTAAATCCGTTGTATGACGTTATCATGTAAATTTTAAAAGATAGTACATATTTAATTATTTACAATACAACAATATTAATAAAAGAAAGACATACATTTTTCTATAACTAATTTATTTCTTTATTTTCTCATATAAAATTTTATAAAAAAACAAACTAAAAGAAAAACTCAACGGTGGGTTGTCACAAAGCAGAACACAGTGATTTGGTGATAAGTGATGGGGTTATTTGAAGAACATGGACCATACAAAATGTGTGAAGATGGATAGATTGGTGATTTCATTTGTCAGTCGGATTTTTAAAAGTTATGACATAGATATTAAATTTTGGATTTTATTAAAAAAATAGATTACGTTGTAAGTAGTGAGTATTCGATTAAGTCGAATAAAAAATTTTGATTTATTTGAAATGTCGAGTCTTATTTTACAACTCGAAGTTAACTTGAAATTTTTTTAGTTAGGTAGAGTTTATAAAATACAAGTCGAGTTTTTAAGTTCTGTTTAAATTTAAATGTAAATATTTATAATATTATTATATTATTATTTTTATTTAAATTGTTTTTTGCAACCATATATATATATATATATATCTTCATAGTTTTTATATATGATATGCATATATTATACAAATTCGAGTGACTCGACTCAAACTTAAAAAAAATCTACTAATTACTAAAAATTTTGAGTTATTCTAGTTGTATTTTACAACTCGACTTGAACTTGAAATTTTTCAAGTCGAGCTGAGTTTATGAATTTACAACCCAAGATCGATTCAAGCCGAGTTTTCTCAAGTCAAGTGGAGTCGAAAAAATCGATTTTTCAAATCCAGTTGAATTTTGCCCCTAACATCTGTGAAGTATTGTTAAGAGGTGATATGACATACTAAATTAATAGGAAATATCTTATTTAACCCCTCAATTATAACTAAATTTTAATTTTTGATCTTTTTCAATATTTTTAAGCAATAATTTCAAAAAAAAAAGAGTAGAAATTTTAATTTTTAAAAAATATATATATGAAAAAAATTATTTTTAAAATTAATAGATTTTCAAATTATTTTATAACTAATTATTTATTAATTATGATTTTACTTGTAAAACTAAAAATTTCCAAGATTCAAAAAATTGAATTGTCGTACAGATATTTTGTTTGTTCCCAACTTGAAATCTATTTACTTGTTGGGTTGTTTGATATATATTTCTTTCAGACTTAAACAGATTAAAACATGAGTTTGAGTTAAAGTAATATATATATATATAGCAGGCCTAGGCTTAAAGACTTGTCCAATACAATGAGGTTAAAATCTTGGTAAGCCCATTTTACTTAATTTTATATTTTTATCCTTCACTCTGATCAGCCCACCTACCTCCTCCCCAAAATCCAAGCTCTCGGGTCCCCTCCGACCGTGAGGTCCATGTGTCGAAACCCTCTATCAATCAACACAAACTAATTTACTTCTCTTCCTTGGATGAAAACATCCGCTACCCCGCCGTTACTTCTGAAAATCCGGCATTCTTCCCTCCGGTAATTAACCAACAAACTTGTACAACCCTCCATTATGTTGTGCTGTTGGTGTTCAAGTTAACTCCTTAGTTGAACTAGCACATCCTAATTTCCTTGGATTTTTTTTTATCTTTTACCTTAATATATTAAAGTTATTTTAAAAATAAAAAGAGAGAGATTGTTGGATATGGAAATATAAAATACAAACGTGTAGAGATGAAGAGGAAAATATAAGAAAATCCACTTGGAATTGAGTGCATTGCTTCATCATTTACGGTCCTTTATATAGAAATTGTAAATGACTATTAACCTTTAATGATAACTATTCATGAATAGTTGCATGCATTCGTCCTAATACATCAATGTAAAGGTAAATTACAATTATATCACTCAACTTTAGTCTTTTTCATGTTTTGATCACTATTTTTTTTAAATAATCATTACATTTTTTAATTACTCCTACTTTGATCACGTGTGCTGAAATGAACCACTTTTTGTTGACATGTTTTTCATGTTCATCATGTTTCTTATTTTATTTTATCTTATTCCTCTAGGATGAAAATTTTATAATTTTAACCATGTATCCCGTTAGTGTGAAATCGCCATGCTATGACGTCTTTTTGAAAACTCAAATCAAAACTTACAACCCCAAATCACTTTCGTCTATAATATTCACTACTCGATCAACCTAGAATCAAGATATATACAATTTTTATCCTCGTTCTCCACCTCCTCATTGTTGAGATTTGAAAGAAGATACTCATCGTCAAGAAATTAAAGGGATTATGACATCAAGATTTTCATAAAAAGATGGAGAGGGTTTTGTGTCAATTCATAATTTTAAAAGAAAAATGTTGTATTTAACAGCATAGTAACTAAAATAAGAATAAACCAAAAGTTTAACGATTGAATTAAAAAATCAATTTTAAAGACTAAAATAAAATTGAAAAAGTTGATAATTTATTCTAATTTGAAAGGTGTAAGTTTAATAGTGTTTAATTATATAACTCATCCTAATTATGCATTTTGGAAGTTATATCTAATTTAGATATTATATAAAAAAATGAAAATTTAAGGATTATAATTGTCATTTTAGGTTTAAGCTTCAAAGTTAAAATAAAATATATGTTGGCATGTAGCATAATTAAATGTTACAAGTGTTAACATTAATGGATAATTTAGTATCCCATAAAAAATGGGGAACATCGTAAAGGAGTTCATCGAAGTAAGGAAATGGAGAGTGAAGTGTATCCCCAAACGAGTTACGATGATGGTAAACATTCATTTTTTTTAATTTGCACTACAAAAAAAAATGTAATTGTTGATAGAATTTATGACTGAATTTATGACTGAATTTATGAGGAAATAGAGTGATTAGTAAAATGTTGGTCGCAGACAATATTTTACGTCAGTATATTACTGACGGAACAATTAAAATTCGTCAAAATGTTATATATAAATAAAATATTATATTTTATGTTTCTGATGAACATATCTTTTTCGTCTGAATGTTATATATAAATAAAATATTATATTTTATGTTTTCGATGAACATATCTTTTCTTTCAGAATGTTAAAAATATAAAAAAAATCTGAATTTTTTAATTTATGATGGATTACATGTTTTCCGTCGGAAATTTAAATCTTAATTTTTTTAAAAAGAGGGAAAATTTATCGGGATTATACCCGAAATTTTTTTTATTCTCTCCAAAATACTATGAATCCAAATTTTTATTTAATTAATTAATGTACCTAAAATTAATAATAATATAATTGAAATAATTATATTAATTTAAAAAAATATAATAATAATAATAGTAACAAGTCCTTAATAAGAAAATAATAATATAAGATAAAAAAATTAATTTCACCATATTAACTAAGATTAAATATGGATTTACAATGGCGCACGTTTTGCCTTCTCTCTCGGTGCATGTTAGCAGGACTAACAGTGATTGAAGACAAGCCATTCTTCTCTTCGATCTCTCAATTGTTTGATTCTTTCTCAATTTTGCTGGTTGATTCTTTGGGGTTTCTGTTGGGCTATGTCTACTGGTGCAACTACGGATTGGAGAAAGCTATTTGCGGTGGGGAACGAGCAGGAATTGGATTATTTTCCCCCGAGGGAGACTGAGGGTTCGCTCGTTGTGAAGCCTCCAAGATATGTGTTCGAGGAGGGAATTTTGGAGTGGAGACATGCTCTAGTTGGGCAATTCATTGCTCAACCCCAAATTTTAGTTTACTACAGAAGACAATTGAGCTGATGTGGGGCAAAGTCGCTCCGGTGAAGGTGAGTTTGGCCGGATCAAATCTTTTTGTTTTCTCTTTTGCTAGCTCCTCGGCCAGGGACTGGGTTTTAGAAAATGGTCCCTGGCATGTACAGCACAAACCTATCTTCCTCAGGAAATGGGAGCCGAACTGAAGGAGCTACACTTCGATTTGGATCGCATGCCAATATGGATCCAATTATTCAATGTTCCTTTGGAATTATTTTCAAAGAAGGGACTCAGCTACATCACAAGTGTATCGGTAAGCCCTTACATATGGATTTCATTAAGCTTCTAGGGAGAGACTTGAGTATACTAGAGTCTGTTTAGAAATTATGTTGATTCGAGGATCCCAGACTTTGTTGATGTGTTATTGTGTGATGAGTTTGTAGCTAGAATCAAGGTCGTTGTACCTTGTAAACATGTCTCTTGTGTTGAGTGTAGTAGATTTGGTAATTCTGTGAAATTCTATCCTCTGGGGAAGAAGAAGAAACAAGTATGGAGGACAAAAGTTCCAGCACAGGAGATAAAACAGGATGATGTTAATAAAATTCTGGCTAGGAATGAGGGGAAGAGTGTTGGTGTGAATATTGAGGAAAATAACCTTACTGAACAGACTATTCCTAGCAATGTTGAGCTAGTTGAAGAGAATTATGCTGACAAGATCTGAACTGGTTCTGGGTGAGATGTTGTTAATGGAGCAAAACTAGCTACTCATGTGGGGGCTTCTAGGAGCAATCCTCCTATTAAGCGAGGACGGGGTAGGCCAACAAAAGAAGCTAAGGCTGCTATGGGAGCTTCCAAGAACAAGTTCAAGGTACTTAACTCAATCGATCCTGAAAGATTGTTGTCTGCTGATGATTCTGGTAAGAAGCAGAGAGCAGCTTCTTTGGGAGTGGCAAAGCTTGTACAAGATTTAAAGTTAAAGAAAAAAGAGCAGGTTGACAAAGTAAAGAAAATGGAGGATAGAGGTGGTGCTTCTTCCTCTTCCATTACCTTATGTTAGTTTGTTTTTAGAACATTCAAGGATTTAATAATCCTCATAAGTAGAGACAAGTATTAAGATGGGCTGCTAGTTATCAAATAGGCATTCTTTGTTTGATGGAAACTAGAGTCAAGGAGGTGAATTCTGCAAACATTTTAACCCAAAGATTTAGTGAGTGGGATTCTTGTTGTAATTATAGTCACACAACCAATGGTCGTATTTGGGTGCTTTGGCATAGATATTTGGCTTGTTATGTCGTCTCTGTGTTTGATCAAAGTATTTCTATTAAAGGCTCTTATGGGGGAAAAACTTATGTGTAACTACAGTTTATGGCTCGAACGATGGTAATGATTGGAGGTAGCTATGGAACCAATTAAGCTCACTAGATTGTGTTAGGGAAATCTTTCATGGTTGATAGAGGGTGATTTCAATATCATCTTGAATACTGAGGAAAGAACGGGTAGTGTTAATGCTTCAACTCATGCTGATATTTTGGATTTTCGGAGCTGTGTGGAAAATATGGGAATTTTCGACCATCCTTTCACTAGATCTCTATTCACCTGGTCGAACAAGCAACACGATTATTATTTAGCTCGCAAGCTTGACCGTGTGCTGGTAAATTCGGCATGGATTGAAGATTTTCTAGACTCTGGTATAGAGTTTCATGCCCCTAGGGACTCGGACCACTGCCCAGCCGTGGTGTGGCTCCACAATGCAGCCCCTATGACCAGACCTAAACCATTCAAGTTCTTTAATTTCTGGGCTTTGCATCCATATTTTTTTGCCATAATCAAGGAGTCTTGACAGGTTCTGGTTGTGGGTAATCCAGCTCAAGTTTTGTTCCAAAAACTCAAGATGTTGAAATGTCCTCTTAGGAATTTAAACAGAGCTCATTTTAATGACATTTCCAACCAAGTGAAGCTTAAAAGCGATGAACTGTTGTGTATCCAGCTTTCAAATTTATCCGCTGGCAGAAATGTTAACGACGAATTACAAGTTGAAAGGGAGCTGAAAAACCTTGAAGAAGCTGAGTTCTTTTTTTTATAAGCAAAAGGCCAAGGCAAACTGGATTAATGAAGGAGATCAAGAGACTCGCTTCTTCCATTCGATGGTGGCAAGAAGAAGGAAAAGTAGCACAATAAGGGTCATTTATGATCAATCTGGTGTCAAGCTGGACACTTTTGATGATATGTACAACGAGGTGATCAAGTTTTTCCAGAACCAGCTGGGGACGACTGATGTGAATGTCAAGTGTAGCAATATTGCAACAATTAAAGAACTTCTCAATTATTCTCTTCCCCTGGGAGTCGATGTTGTTTCATCAGGGATGTATCCGATGTGGAGATCAAATATGACATTTGGGGACAAGGTAATGACAAGTCCCCTAGGCCTAATGGCTACAATCTTTTTTTCTACAAGAGAGGTTGGTCCATTATTGGTGAGGATTTCATAGCTGCTATTAGGTATTGCTTTGAGATTTCTTTTATACTTTCTGTTTTCAACTCCACAACTGTTGTTCTTGTCCCTAAAGTGCCTAACCCTAGCATAGTCAAAGATTTTATACATATATCCTGCTGCACTGTGATCTACAAAACCATCACCAGAATCTTAGTTAGGCTCTTATCTACTGTGTTTCCTAGCATGATATCTAAGAATCAAACTGCTTTTGTTAAAGGGAGAAGTATTGTAGATAATACTCTCCTTGCCCAGGAGCTTGTTAGGGGCTATAATAGGAAGAATATTTCCTCTAGATGTGCTTTGAAGATAGACCTTCAAAAGGCTTTTGATTCTCTAGATTGAGGCTTCATTACTGTTATATTGAATGTTTTAGTCCTGCCAGAGAAATTTATTGGCTGGATATGGGCATATTTCACCAAACCGAGCTATTCGATCATGTTCAATGGCAGTCTCGTTGGCTATTTTAGGGGTGCTCGGGGTGTCAGGCAGGGTGACCCACTTTCACCTTACCTCTTTGTACTCGCCATGAATGTTTTATCAAATTTTTTGAATGTGTCTGCTCTTAAGGGAATTTTCAAATTCCATCCCAAATGTAAAATGATAGGCTTAACCCACCTCTGTTTTGCGGATGACCTTCTCATTTTCTGCAAAGCCTCCATTGACTCTATTATTGGTGTGCAAACTGTGCTGGATGATTTCTACTCTATTTCCGGGCTAAAACTAAATGTTAGCAAATGTGAGATGTTTTTTGCTGGGTTATCTGTTGTGCATTGCAGGGATATAAGTGAGTTTCCAGGATTTAAAATAGGGAAGCTCCATGTTAGATACTTGGGTATCCCTTTGGTGACAAAAAAACTTAATGAGATGGACTATCAGCCTCTTATTGATAAAATAAGGGCGCGACTGAACCTTTGGGTTAACAAGCATTTGAGCTTTGCTAGCAAACTTCAACTGGTGTGTGATGTCCTATTTAGCTTAACAAATTATTGGTGTAGGCAGATTGTACTTCCTGTCACAATGATCAAGAAGGTTGAACAACTGTGCTCTCGCTTCTTTTGAAAGGGATATGATTTACCTGCGAAGGGAGCTCGGGTGAGTTGGAAACAGATTTGCCTTCTGAAGTATGAAGGGGGTCTTAGGGTTATTGATATCCTTGGCTGGAAGAAAGCTTGTGCTGTGAAACTGATCAGGATCTTGCTAGCGGATGAGGGCTCCTTATGGGTGGCGTGGATTCATTCCTATGTAATTAAAAGCTCTAATATCTGGAAGATGAATTCACCTTCAAATGCCAACTGGAACTTCAGGAAGTTGTTGAAGTTAAGGCCTTCTATTCATCATTTATTTACTGGACGAGACAAAGAACTTAGCACAAGGCAGATTTGGGAGGACATTCGTACCATGGCACAGAAGGTTGTATGGCACCACCTGGTTTGGTTCTCTGGGCGTATCCCTAAGCACAATATAATCCTATGGATGACCATCTTGGATACGCTCCCTACCCAGGTGAGGCTTCTGCGGATGGGATTAGTTGTTGATAATGACAGATGCTTGTTTTGCAATTTGGAGCCTGAGACTAGGAGTCACATATTCTTCGAGTGTGGTTATGCGAAAAGTCTATGGACGGCCATTCTCCAACTTTGTGGTGTCAATCGCAGTGCATGCCACTGGGATGACGAGTTAGCTTGGGTCACGCATTGTTTTAAGGGTAAGTCTCTCATCACGAGAGTTTTAAAGCTCGCTTTGTCGAGTTATGTGTATGGCATTTGGAGAGAGAGAGGAATGGTAGGCTGTTTGGGGGAAAAGCCAAGCTGTGGAACGAAATCCTAGAGGACATTAAAGACGCTATTTGAATTAGGTTGAATGGCTGCCCTATCAACAGAATGGACCTGATGAATGCTGCCCTCTGCGCAAGCTAGAGCATCGCTTGAAAACTATGGACCAAATCCTTGCTTATGGTTCCTTGTACTCTTATTGTATTTTTTGGATTTTCTGTTTGTGTGATAACTGAGGGCTTATAGCTTAACGGGTATTGATGTTTATGTAAGAACCTGGTTCTCTTATAGCATATTTTTGCTTTCTTGGGTAATGAAATTGGATTATCCAAAAAAATATGGATTTACAACATATATTTCATAATTCAATATTTCTAATAAATATAAATATATGGTTGTAAACTATACATAAAAAATACAATATTCAATAATAAAAAAAGAGTAAAATATAAAGTTTGCATACTAAAGAATTGTGATCTTCCCTGTTTTGGACCATCGAATTGGATTTGGATACATGATTTGCATTCAAGGATAGCTTTTCACGTTGCTTGAGTCTGATTTACGATTTGTTAGTGGTCTTTTAATAGCTTGATCCCCTTTTGTGGTTTATTTGTCGATGCGATCAGATATGTTTGTATCTATCTTTGTTCGAGTTTCTTGATAAGATTTAATATTTCCTTGTATGGTCCTTATGTGATCTTAAGTTACTAGTTTTGTTTCAATGATTATAGAAAATTTTCCTAATTGTGCTTAATTTACGATTGCGATTGTAAATTTTTATTGTAATTTGAGATCTTTCCTATTTTGAATAAAATTAGTTGTTTTTATAAAAAAAAACAAAAGTATATATTAAAATAAAATACATTGAACAAAAACTAAAACTTATATCAATATTGATAATAATGATAATAAAATATGATGAAATTAAAAGAAGAACTTTTGGGGAGAAAATGAGTTAATAAGAAGAGATTGAATGAGTAGAAAGAAATGAGAGAAAAATGAGTGTAGGAAGGTTTAAATAAGAAAAAATTAGGTAAAAATGGATAAATTTAAAATTTTATGGTGTAATGGAGGGAAATTGAAGAAAGTGGAAGCGGGTAAAAAAAACTCCAAAAAATTGTGACATAACATGTAGATCTATCACAAATTTGTGACGGAATAAGTGGATCTATCAAAAATTTATGACAGATCCATAAATCCTGCCACAAATAAAAAATACTCTTTCTAAAAATAGTATCGGTATTGTTCTTCCAGTACCGATATTGACGGCCCTGGGTGCTATGTTTTGGGCACAAAATCATGCCCAAAACACGCCCATTCACTCCCCTTAGGACTAGTAAACGTTTTTAAAGCCTTCTTTGGTGTTTAAAAAGTCAAAATGTGTCATCTTTCATGCATAAAACACATAAATATGAATCTTACCATGAAATCCCTCTAACATGCTTACATGACCAAAACATACCATTTATGCACATTTAATGAACTAAATATGGTATGGACAAGTTATAATCGTGTTACCTTGAAGCTAGGTGACTGAAAAACGTTCTCAAATCACCCAAGGACCAACTTTTCCTTGTCTCTAGCCTTTTAGCTCTCCCCTTACTCTTGCACTAATCAAAACAAGTTTAATAAGTTGTTAGCTCATCTTAAACCTTAGGAAGAAGCTAAATACGTTTCCTTATCACTCAAACCTCATAAAATGAATCAGAACTTAGGATTTCATAAACTCCCACTAAAATCCGTTTTTGTGAAACTTGGCCAAAACTTATAAAAGAGAGTTTAATTTGAAGCTTGAGAGGTGAAGTTCATGAATCTTACCTTAGAATTCTGATTCAGGCTTGAAAAACTAGAAAGTTTGAATCTTTAGTTTTCCTTAAAGATGAAGGAGATGAGAGTGAAGTGAGGAATATGAGACAAACAAAGGTAAGGAAAAAGAGATGGTAACCAGATGTGATATCATCCAATTAATTGGGAATTAAGCTTTTTTTTAAAAAAAAATGGGATAATTACTCTCTTATTCCTGCCACATTTTGGTTCATATTAAAAACGCTCTTTTTATAATTTGTTGGGCTCATCACAAGCCAAAATCAAACGCTATTTGGGTTAACTTTTCATGGGCTAAGAGGATAGTCTAAAGTCCAAATCAAATATACCTGAAAATCCTAACCCATGATTCGGGGTGTTACAACATGAAGGCGGACAACCTCAGGAAATCATGCAACCATTTCTACAACAATGGATTTTTTTAACCGACAAACCCATATCACGAACCAACTTCTTCATCTCATAAATGTTCTTGGGCATGTTATTATTTTTGGACATTAACCTCTACATTATCCGACAAAGGTCATCGTAGCATGCATTAGGAATCCGATATTGTACTTTCAATTGTATTAATTCGGAAACCATTGATAGCTTAGACTCATTACTACTGGGACATATCGGTTCAAAAGAAGCACCAAGTCTATTGTAGAACATCTGCATCAAAGCAATTGGTAGTTGATCATCTTCTGTCATATATGCATTTAGTTCAGGACCAACAACATTGGCCTCATTGGATTCATGATTGTTACCAAACAAATCATATGAATACTCTGGAACTGGAGTATTAAAACATGTTATATGGTTATAGTAACCAGTAAGAGAAAAATGTGGCTCTCTATGATAAACCCAATTGTAATAATACAAAATAAACCCTTCAGTGATCACATAAATTTTAATCGTTTTTAGATTTCGAAAATTTTTATTTATGCATTTAGGTCTATTACATGGACACCTAATATTTCCTCAATTTGCAAATCTAGGCTTACTTAACGCAAATGTGATGAATTCCAATAGTGGGCGCTCAAAATGATTTAAGAACAAAATAGGGGTTGATCACAAAGTGGGATGACAAAGTATGGTGGGAATAATAAGGCCAAATTGATTTTGTCATTTGCCACCAAACTAGTTTTTGTATTCTATCTCCAACCAATAAAAAGTTAGGGAAAGAAACTAGTTGTTATATACGCATAATTCTAAAAATATTTTTAATATTTAAGTAAATAGTTATTTTTACTCCTATAGAGAGAGAGAGAGTATTTTGACTCTTTGATGTTTTATTTTAGGATAAAAAGGTCTTTATCGTTTGATTAAATAGTCACTTTAGGTTTTATTCGTTTTATTTGGATATTTTTACTCATAATATTTTATTTTAGGAAATAAAAGTTCATATTTTGGAACATTGGTCATTTGTTAACTAATAATTTTCATTAATACAATGACCTTATTGCAAGACAAAACATTGGGTGTTAAAATACTTCAAAAAATATTATAGAAATAAAAGTGACTATTTTATTGAATGTTATTTTTTTATTAATATACCTTTTATATACCAACTGGAATACGTTCAATATGCTTGGAATATACTTGAATTTCTTTCATCATCATTTTGATCCACGGCATGAAAAATGTCAGGAAACTAAGAAGGCTTAATATAAAAATAAGTGACTAAATTATACTCAAAATTAATTTTTGGTATCTAATGCTAAAAATAGGTGTTTAAATTTTTCTCTATTGCACTTTTAAATGCCTACCGTTAAAAAAAATTGTTAAGTGACACGTGTCACTTCCATATTTAAAAAAAATATTTTTAAATAATATTTTAAAAAATTATTAACGTGTCATATGTCAATTAATGATTTCTTTTAATTTTATGCATCTAAAAAATATAATGAAGAAAACTTTAAACATCTATTTTTAACGAAAAATTCTTTAGGCACTAAAACGTTTTTCGAAGTATTCTTTATTAAACCAAATAAGAAAAATATATAATTTTTAAAAAAAATATCAGAAAGGGCCATTGCTTTAAATAATATTTTATTATTGCAAAAAGAATATGGTTCTCTGAAGGCGGAAATACAAAGAACAAAGAAATAAAATTCGCATCAACAATGCAGTTAACGATAATTTTTTTTGGCTACAATATCCCCCCAATAATGTTCACAATCCCAAGAGAAAATGGATTTATTCCACTGTTCATAAATTATATATATATATATATTTCTTTTGGTATGTAATAATAATGATATCCACAAAACACTAAGGCCCACCAATAGTCAAGGAATCTTTACACATCAGCTGCCTTTACTCGACAGTACACGTTCGCTTCGCTCACTAAAAACAAGCACTCCGCCTCATAGATAGTGAACACAAATTCTTGTTTCATTTTCAATTCCTTACGGGTCTCAAAGTAAGCAATAGAGGGATCCTTTTCTAGTTAGAATCAATGCAATGAAAGAACCATCCCTTCCCTATTTGTTTATCCTGTCAGATAGAAATATAATAAGACCCTATCCCTTCTTTACCACTTTAGGGGATGGGGGTGAGGTCCAAGGAAATCAAAGGTCCACTTTTACGATTTCATCTATATCGAATCTTAATATTAGAATAGCTTATATAGTTATGAATTTTTTTAGGTCCACTTACTTTTTCTTTCTTTCTCATTTTTTGGAATCTGATTGGAACAATGGAGAAGTAGGAAGACTATCGATTCCATAATGGGTATCTAGAATATCTATGTCCCAAAACAACAAATTTGAATAATAAAAACATAACCATAAGTGACATAGCAACGAGCGGTCTGGTGTCCGAGCCAATTGGTCAGACGACGACACTTTACTATCTCGAATCCCGTGGCATCGACAACAAGACACAGCACAGGGGCAGATCAGCTTCACTGGGACCTGGAACAAGGGGAGGGCCAAACGAAGTTCTCTTCTCCTTTCGTTCTCTTCTTTCTTTTTTATTTTGACTCGGTCAAAATGCCTTTTTCCTAGCATTTGTCTTTTCTGTTTGCATAGAGTAACGAGTAAATGCCTTTCTCTGTGAATATTTTTGTAATTGGGTTTGGGTTGGTCCAGTCTCGACCTGTGGGCTCTTTATCAACGCTTGGCCTTTATATATACAGATTTGCTGCTGCGCTCCATTTGCTCCATGGCCTTTATATAATGTTTTACGAATTTTAAGTTTAGGTTCGAGTTCAAGTTTGATTTGAGATTAAGTTCAAATTTAAAC